GACATTGTAAAATCATTAGTTCATATAATAATCTATGATATTAAATATTGAAATGTTAAATAAACCAATAATCATACATTGAAAAAATAGTGTAGACGTCAGATATGTAAATTTATATTGTAGAAGTTATGTAAATTCGTATTATATTGTAAATGCGTATCAAAGGAAATAAGGATTTCGTAAAACAGATTATGAGTGTAAGGCATAATCCAAAGTATGTTTAAGATCAAGGATTTTGTAGAACTGTTTATAAGTGAAAGGTATAATCAATTGTATACAGCTTTAATAACAACCGTACTCAAGGTATGCCTTAATTGAAGATAGTTTTATAGATTCTTATGTATACTTTTGTATATATGTGTCATATACCCTAATATTATAGTTGGTTATGAATAAGCTGATGTTACTGGAAAATATCGAGAGTAACTGTTACTGAAACGGAAATAAGCTGTTACTTCAGTCTATAAGACTTATATGCATGGGTATGTTTTATATTTTTATGAATTCTACAAAACTTGTGTTTTTTATATGTATGTTATATTCTTTTTTAATGTTTTAGTTGGCTGAAGAGGGGCTTAAGAGCCCGAAACGTGTAAAATTTTCACACGTATCAACTAAATAAAGATGAGAAAACCCGCCAAGTGTCTTAATTTATAGCACTTTATTGTGTTAGAAGCATAAAAAATACAGATCACTTAGCAATGATTATAAATGTAGTTATTTCATATTGTTAAATTGTTATTTTTAATGAATATTTGCACATTCTGAATCATTAAAAATAAACTTTTTTTCTGGTCATGCACATTGTGATGTTTTGGTTTTGTTTTCCATTCATTACAATAACTATTGTTATTTCAAACTTTGTGTACTGTTGAACTACAAAATGGAAAACTTTGATGTAAATAGTTATACATCGACAAGGAAACCGCCAAGGAGTTCAAATAAATGAATAATGTTATATTTGTTTAATTCTTTAGCTGAAATGAATCCAGGTCTGTGTGAATGATATAGTGAAAATGGTAGCAAAGACAACAGGCATATCAGAAAGGAGCATTCACAGAATTTGTAAACAATTATAAATATATTTTGTGTAAGTCTTAATAATTGCCTGGGCAAACAGTAAGCAAGCACAGACTTCTGGGATGACTTTTGTGATTTCATATCTGAGTTTAAAAAAAATTCCCACATTAGGTTTTGATGATTTTGGTGTCAAAATGCTCAGTAGAACCCTGGCACGTGTATAAATTATTTTTTTGAAAAATATAATTAACTGTCAGTAAGTTCAACTAATGTTTTTACATTGTAAATGAATAAATGGTTTAAATATAATAATCAATTATATCCATAATTTTAATATGTTAAATAGTTTTATATTCAAATTATTACAAAACAAGTGGAGACTATCCATTGTTTTGACCTGATAATTAATTTTTCTTCTGCTTTTAGGTAAGTGTAGTTATTTTATATTTATAATTTTTATTTATTTTTTTGGATAGTTCTCCTAATGATTTTGATTGTGTTGATATTTTGTTTAATTTATTTATTATGGTTGGTTGTATAAATTTTGTATTACACTTTCGTATATATAAAAATTTTTTTTCTGTAATAATTTGTTTATCACAGTATTATCATGGTTTTTATTGTTTTGTAATGGGTATCATAATTTTTATATGTTTGTATTCCCTGCATCATGGTGAAACCAGTATGTTTAATTAAATAGAAAAAAAAAGTTTTAAAAAAGTCAAAATTATAGGTTTAATGTAAATATTGTGCACAATCACAAAAGAAAGTATGCAAATGAAATTATATGGAACATTTACCTATAGAATACAAAGAAATACATTGCTTTAATAATTATTGAGAACAAGAAACATGCCACATGGATACATACCAACTCACAGAATCTGAAATTATACATATTTGGAGACTTCATGACAGTGGAGCAACCCACAGGAAAATTGCTATGGAATTAACCATTCTAAATAACCATTTCTAAATTTTTCTGTTTTGTTGATTGTATATCATATATATGTCTGTATCTTTTGTTTTTCTTTGACCCTTGAAAAAAGCCAATGGTCATAGGGTCGTTTGGTTAAATAAATAAATATGCTGGAGTCAATGTTATAAAACGTGAAATTGATAGGGCCACTAAATAACATCCTGAAGAAAAACTTGTTTACCATCTCTTGACTAAAGATTTATTTACTTGCAACTTGATCTCAGTTGTAAGCAAATAAAATCAAAAGTGTTGCTGAACTTTCCTGTTCAACTCTATTTTTTGAGTTTTACAATCCAAAAAAATGTTTAAATACAGAAAACTAATGAAGAAACCACCATTAACAAATAAACATAAAAATGCTTCTTTGGATATGACAAGAAAAACCATGAGCTGGACCCATCAGTAGGTATTATACTATTTTCAGATGAAAATAGTAACCTTGATAGACTCGGTGGTTGTCAAAAGCATCGACACGAGTTAAGAGCAAAAGGTAATGTGCAAATGAGTCGACAAATAGATAGTGGATATGTGATAGTTTGGGCTACATTTTCAGCTAAGGAAAGACTGATATCTTTGTTCCTGGATATTTCACTTTTAAATCCTATTGCACTCTGTTGGAAGATCACAATAACAACTATGGTTAATTCTTGGTAGAGAAAATTTCATCTTTCAGCAGGATAATGCATCCATAATAATGAACATTATTATTTGTAGAAAACTAGTGTAAGTTTTGTCATGACCTACATGGTCCCCAGAACCAAATCAATAGCGAATCTGTGGGGGGCTTCTTGTTAGATCCATTTACAAAGTCACAAGACAATTTTCAGCAGTTGCAGAACAGAAACAAACCATTCAAACATGCTGAGATGAAATTCAGAATGAGTTGTTCTTACGTTGATTGATTCAATGCTCGATCACATATACAACATTATTCATACATAAACTTCCAAAAGCCAGATATTTTAGTAATTTGCCAAATAACTGCTGGATTAAATCAGGCTACTTTACATAAATGCTATTAATTAAATTCTAAATAATTTAGTACTAGAGGTAGGCGTTAGACACCATTTCTTATTAATTTAATTATAATTATTAAATTTGATATTTAATAAATAATTTAGAATATTCTGGAAGAAAAGAATCAACCTGGAATTTAATTACAATTATTAAATTGAATAAGACATGATGCCTAATGCATTTCTCTAGTACCATATTATCTAGAATTTAATTAAAGTGATAAAGTAACCCAATTTACTCCAGCAGTCATTTGGCATATTACATTATTATTCATGCCAAAAAAGTTTAATTAATTACTAAAGTATTAATTCCTTAAATTAAGACATTAATTCATTTTTCAATTTATAATTTTGTCTCTAAAATTGATTTCTTATAAATATTTTGTTTTCAAATAATTTGAGTATAAAACTATCAATATATAACATACTAAAATTACCCAACTTCACTGCCTGTAACCGGCGTTCTTCTTCTCCAATACAGAGGACTTTGCAAACGTTTTCGAACCTAATGTGGTTCTTCTTCAGGCTCTAACAAATTTCCTATATGAATTCGAATTTCCAGAATTAACTGTTGTTTTGGAAACTTTTATGAATTTGAATTTCCAGAATTAACCATTGTTTTCCAAAACAACGGTTAATTCTGGAAATTCGAATTCATATAGGAAATTCATTAGAGCCTGAAGAAGAACCACATTAGGTTCGAAAATGTTTGCAAAGACCTCTGTATTGGAGAAGAATAACGCCGGTTACAGGCAGTGAAGTTGGGTAATTTATCTATTCCGGTGTTAAAATTTCTGTATAGTTCATACTAAAATTATGGATATAATTAATTATTTTTTATGTCCCCATTTTATTTAAGCAATTTATTTATTTACAGTCTAAAATAATTACTTAAACTTATATATTTGTCTAACATGCAACTATTAGCACATTTTAATTAAAATTTCTTTCTTTCTTATAAAAAATGGAAATAATCAACATGAAGAATGTACCACTAAAACAGTAAAATCCAGTTGAATTTTGTGCGCTGGATTTTGGTGTTTTTGGTAGTGTATTTTTGACATATATCTAGTTTATCAAGTTATTAATTATAATCAACATAATTTCTGAATTGCTTGTTTAATTTATTGTTTCCACTAGCACTCAAGAACAATAAATCATGTTCTTGAAGAATATAATTATTATTTACTTATTTTTACTAATCATCATATACTATTTACTAAATTAGTCTACAATGTTTTTTCAAAAAGTGTCACTATTTTGATTATCTTGACTTAGAGGTTTAATTTAGACATTTGAACATGCCAACAAGTTTCACATCAATTTTTTATTAATGAAAACTATCTCAAACTGAATGTGTGACAATGCACAAAGCACCACCCATGCTTCAGCACCATGGGACCGAAGGGTCAACACAGTGTTTGTGATGACTAGTTCCTCAGGACTGACACCACTGTGTCTTTTAGGCAGATGCAGAAACCTTGTTGGCGATAGTTTTGATATTTTTTGCGAGTAGTCATGCCGTAAGCACTTAATTCTGACTCGAAAGATGGCACGGGTTGAGGAAGTGCACCAAACACAAATCAAACAATGACAAATTTCTGTTTATTTACCATAACTACTTAAATGTATACAAGCAAGGCTAATATCTTGCATTTAAAGGATCATCCTTGATGTTAACTAGTTTAAGTTTGAAGTTGGAGAGAGAGAGTTTACATGTAAGGTTCAGAGATACCTGATAAGGAATCTGAGGCAACTCAAAAGCTTGATGGAATTCACTTGGATGGAGTTCATGAAGAATCACTAAGGATGGAGGAAGGTCACTAAGGTATCCAATTGTTGAGGTGACTCTGACTAGGATGAACTTTTGATGGCAGCAGATTCTCAGACTAACGAACTCCTTGTAAGATGGACAAACTGTTGTCATCATCAGTCATTGCCTTTTATTGGGGTCCTCCCTCTTTTCTCCCTTGCCCCCTTTTTGGCAATGTTGCAGTGCCATGTCCAATAACAATTTCTTGTCTCCAAGTTCTTGGTGACACATTCAATGTATCACCTTCAAAGGGAAGTGACTCCACAGAAAAATAAAATCATATCCTTTACAATTTTAACAATCATGGAAAAAATTATAAAAGTTTTAAAATTCGAAATCAATCTTGGACTCACACATGTATTAAATGATTTAAATATTTTTAAAAACATTGTTAATTATCATCACATCAAAATCTCTCTCTAAACTTGTAAATGTATTGCCGCAGTTCACGTTGCCATCCATCAAGTTCCATGGTACAGTGGTTAGCATCTCCGCCTATGAATCAAAAGGTCTCCAGTTCAAACTTGTTTGATGGGGAAATGAGTTTTTTTATGTGTACATTCTCAAAGATTCAAGAACACCTGTTAATTCACTATCATTTACATATTTTGACAATGCCTTCACGCTATAAAACCGCAAGCTCTCAGGTTAAGGAGAATTGTTGTCTTGTACTGCAAGCTGCAGTGCTTGTATAATATCTGGGTGAATAAACATCCCTTTGTGTTCACCAAAGACTTGTTATTGCAGTTCATCATTTATCTACACAACATTTTGGTGGAGATGCCACATATTACTTTCATTTCCCTTTGTCATAGTGGCAAAACCATCCAGTCCTTGCCAAAGTATGTCTCCAAGGATTACCACCTGAATATGGACTGTATTCTCCTCCTGGACATATAGTAAAAAAACAATGGCCCAAGACGGTGAGAAGACACCACACCTTCTGTGATACAGCACTGTCAAAATTCCACCATGTTTGCTGGTGATGCTACCAAGGACCCCACAGAATGGTTGAAGGAATATGATAGACTAGTGATATTTAACTGCTGGGACAATATGGCATGCCTCACCAATGCCTACTTCTTCCTCAATGGCAAGACAGTGGTATGAAAATAATGAAGCAAGTCTTGATTCATGGCCAATATTTAAAATCAAAATCCAAAAGGTATTTGGGGATGACCAGCAGCAATCCTGATGAACAGAAGAACTTTTAAAATGCAGAGCACAGAAGCAGGGAGAGAGTATACAATCGTACATTCAGGATATATTAGGTCTATGCAACAAAGTAAATCCACATATGAAGGAAGCTGATAAGGTGTCTCATTTGATGAAAGGTGTCACTACTTCAAGAACATGTGGCAAAAAAGAATCAGACGAAAGAAATTTGACCATCTACCAAATGTCGTACCTGTAGCATCATTGGAAGAATAACCTGATACGGTCTCCCTCATCCGTCAGATTGTAAGAGAGGAAGTTCAACGTATCTTGGGTCCCCAATTAGAAGTCACCAATCCACAAATCTCCTCACTCAATTCTATTGTTAGAGAGGAAGTCGAGAGAACCCTTAAAACAAGCGCTTACTTCTAACCCAGTATTAGGATTGTACAATGAGGAAGCCCCAACAGTACTCCAGAAGGATGCCAGTGGTTACAGGATTGGAAATGTTGTAGTCCAAATTCAAGATGGCAAAGAAAGTGTAATTGCTTATGCATCCAGAATGCTTATCAAGACAGAAAAAATTATTCGACCATGAAGAGGGAGTGTCTTGCTGTAATATGGGCAATCCACAAATTCTGACCATATCTCTTTGATAAACCATTTGTTGTGATAATAGATTATCATGCATTGTGCGGGCTTGCTGGACTAAAGGACCCACCGGGAAGGCTCGCTAGATGGGCCTTAAGACTTCAAGAATACGATGTTTCTAAATGCTATAAAAATGGACAAAAACAAAATGCAGACTGCCTTTCGAGAAATCCCATAGATGTCGACACTTCTGTGGAGGCTGGTATAGTTGCCACACTTACAAATATCTGCATGATACAAATGTCACGCATTGCTGCGATCTCAGAAAAACAAAATTCAAGCAAACTTGTTATGATAAAATTAAATTTACATTTTATCTTTTTTATTGAAACTTATTATTATTATTATAATATTATTATTCATTTTCATCGGGAAAACATTTCAAAGTGTTGTTTCAATTCTATTTATTTATTGGAGTGCTTGTGGATACACGATATTTTTCGTTTTTTCGTCTGATGCGTACACGAATAAATCGGAAGGTTTTCCGACGCGTGAGCTGGCCACATACAGTTGTCCATGCAAGAAGCACGGATTTTCCAAATTTAGCCCACACACTCCCTGCGATTGTCAGAAGTGCGATATTCCCCATTTATATATATATTTTTAAATCCTTTATAATTTTAACTATTTAATTGCTCCTTCCTCTCTTCCTTGGCATATTGTGAAATTTCTGATAGTTGGATAATAAACTGTTTTATTGTAATTTGTCTTATATCATAAATAACAGTTTACAAATGCATATATAGAGATATTTTTTGAATGGGGGAAATGGTCTTTACAATTTGAAATCAATCAAACACACGGTGAAATGCTCATATACATGCACGCCATCTATTGTAGGATAAATGTACTATGCCAGAAATCTTCGCGGAAGTGTATTAAAAAACTTCCCAAAGCTTCATGGCAATCGTACTATACCAGAAACCTTCGCAGGAGTATATTTAACAACTTTCCAAAGTTTCATGGCAATCGGATAAACGGTGTGGTAATGCATGAAGGACAGACATTCATTTTTATATATAAAGATTATTCTGAAAACATAGTGAAGATGTTTGCAATATTTTTTCTTTCCATTGCAATATTTTATGTTTTTAAAATGATTAGAAACTGTCGGCCAAGATTTTAAATATTTACTTTACAAAAAATAGTATAATTTCTACACCAGAGTATTGTACAATGTACATACCTCTAAGCCTTTTACCAGTGTGAGTCTCAGAACAAACTATGCAATAAAGTTACAAATGTTTTCGAACAATTACGGCTCTTCTAGCCTCAAAGAAAAGTTCGTCTCCGTACACGAGAATTCTGTTTTGGACTGTTGCTGGTGTAACAACATAAAAATATCACAAATATCTTCACTTTATGCTTTTATAATGATTAAATATACCATTGGCCAAAATTTTAAATATTTACTTTAAATAACTTCTCAACTGCACACTGATAAGAGTCATGCTTCCAATGGCCATTTCAAAGGCATAGGTTATAGAATGGTGTTCAGAAATTTTCTGATAAATATTGAGTCAGGTTGTTCACATAAAATTACAGTATATCAAATTAGCTAATCCATAAAATTCAAAATAAAGCGGAAAAAATACACATATTTAAATTATTCATAAATTTTTGGATGTTATATTTTAAAAAGTGTCATAACTGAAATAAATTGTACTTTATAAATCAAGCTGACAAAATATTCCAAATGTAAGCAATTTTATTTTATGAATAAATTTCATTCCTTACCCAAATGAATGGTAAAACTTTCTTCCATTCTTTGTGCCTGAGGAATCCAGTTATCATCTCGATTAGGAATATTTTCTGACAGAGCTCTTATCCTTTGTCTGTAGAAAAAAATAAAAACTGTAGTGAAAAAATTATTTATATAATGCAACTTAATTTCTTTTAGATTTACTAAATATTTAATTTAGGTTTGTAGAGTCCCTAATTTAACCTGTCTCATGTTACTCCCGACATATCTTGGGTCACGATCTACTGACCTTGACCAGTGGACCTGAGATACAGGTAACCCCCGTATAACACGGCACTTCTATAGCACGGATTCACTCTGACACAGTTCCATAATTGGGTAAAATCCTTGTACAACATGAAATGTAATAAATTTTTACATACTTAAGTACTAATAGTTCACGAAAATTATTATTTTCACGAACTATTAGTACTTAAGTATGTAAATTTTCTTTTCTCACCTTCTGTCGATACACATGGTCCTTCTCGAAACTTCTTTCAATGTTGCCAGATCTCGACACTTCTGCTTTTGATGTTGCCAGATGTTTTTCCCTTATTCCATACTTGCTTTAATCTTCTTAAGTGCTTAGCACCATATAAATAAATTTATAAAGATCTTTTAACTAGAAGCAAGCAATCTAAAATTACATACTTTTTGCAAAAGGTAAAGCATGGATCTGAAGATAATGCAGAAAAATGCTCAGAGGATAAGGATAACTTGTCAAAAAGAAAATGCTTTCGGTTAATTTAATAGTACTTTTAGTGACGACAAAGAAAACATTGTTTAATTTATATTAATATGTATCACTTACTCCCGTGTTATACGGGGTTACCTGTATCTCATTTCTGCTTAGGAACGTTTTTTAACATCAGATGTCGCTACTTGTATAGAATTCCAAAATTAGTGACTCATATCAAAAGAATCGTTATGTTATCTAGTTTTTGCACAGCAGGATATTAAAACAATAGGAGTAGATGTTCAGAAGAAATAACAAAAGGAAAGTAGACCGTTAGTTAGACTATTAGACTATGTTTCAACATGGCAACAACTGGGAGAAATAGTGCTCTGAATAAGTCAGAAATGATCAAATATTTATTTAATTTTGGTTCCGATGAGTCTGAATTATCAGACAGTAATGACAAATATATACAAAATGAAAATATAAGTAATGGTAGTAGTGATATTGATCACAAAATACCAACTATAAGTAGATACAGAGGCCAATTATGTGGTCGAGTGGAAATAATGGTGCAAAACATCCGCGTTTTAGTAGTGATGATGGTTGGATCCATATAAACTTTACAAGCCCTCAAGTAAACAATTTAACAGGACAAACAGGAATCCAATGTAATTTACAGAGTGATGCTACACCATTCAATTGCTTTAGTGTATTTTTTGATGATGGACTTGTGGACAAGATCGTTGAAGAAACAAACATGTATGGTGATAGTTTGATGAAACGTAACGATTTATGTGAAAATAGTTGTATGAAAAACTGGAAACTGACAACAAATCCAGAAATTAGAGAATTCATAGGATAGTCACAAGTATCATTAGAAAACCACAATACTTTACGTATGTACTTTACAAATGAAGATGTTTTTTCTACACCATTTTTTTTTAGTGAGATGTCGAGCAACCACTTTCTGCTTTTATTGTCACGTTTGAATTTTACAGACAATAATCAAGCCTCAGGTGGTGATGATGAACTGCATAAATTATGCAGTGTTATCAATCATTTTTGCCACAGGTTCAAATATGCTTACATCCTAAATGAAAATGTGTGTGGATTTTCATCCACACATTTTTACTGGGATTTAGGCAGTATATACTGAGCAAGCGTGCTTGTTTTGGTGTAAAAAGCTTCGAAATTTGCACATTAAAAACAGGATATGTTTGGGACTTTTTAGTTTACACAAGAACTATGACAGAATATGGAAATTTTGACGGTAGACAAGGTGAGAAAGTTGTGTTTACCTTATTAGAAGCGCCGCTTGGTAAGAATTACAAAATTTTTTTAGACAGGTTTTTCATCTCACCGACATTAGCAATAATGCTTCTGGATAAACAAACATATGTATGTTTGTTTATGTATGGAACTGTGAACAAAAATCAAATTGGAACATCATGCAATTTTTCTGATTGTAAATTTGAAGGAAGGTGAATTTATGACCTGTCAGAAAGATGGTTTGTCTGTATTTTGTTGGAGAGATAAGAAGGATGTGCCGATTCTAAGTATGATAAGTAACAACAAGTTCTCAGATTCTGGGAGATATAATAATTAAGCCGAATTGTGTTTTAGAACATAATCGAAATATGGGTGGAATTGATCCATGTGATGAGTGATACACAATTCAATTATCTGTGCATGAGAAAAACAGTGAAATGGTACAAAAAAGTGTTTTTTCATATGCTGGATATAATGCTTGTGTTTTGTATCGCCAACATATGAAAAAACAGATATCATTTCTTGATTTTCGTATGTCTGTTATTACAGAAGCGATGGAAAAGTTTCACCGAAGCAGACATGTAATCTGCCAGTTGACCGTCACATGAAAATTTGTTATTTATCTGAATGGCATTTTCTTAGCCACATACTAGCAACAGAAAAAAAAATCCAACCAGAGTTTGTAAAGTCTGTTCAGCAAACAAAAAGCAAGTAGAATTACCTAACAGTGTGAACAATGTTCCGTTCCACTATGCACTGTTCTTTGAGATTTATCACACTAAAACTAACTTCTGAAATAAAACTTTTGGTTTTACATTTCCTAATATGTCTATTTCGTGTGTGTAAAATATAAAGTAATTTGGAACAATACAATAGCCACAATTATTTTTTTCTAGAACATGTGATCGCATTAGGCTTAACATAGAAAAAATTCAATGTGGTGCAACACGCAACGTAGAAAGTATTCAACACTCGATAGGTTAAGTAACTTGTTTTCATTATACAGTTTGATATTAAATATGTCTACATAAAATAATTTCTGATGATTCTCATTTTAAATTTTATATACAGTTAGGTTAAAGTTGAACGTAATGCCAAAAATTCCTATGCTTGCAGTTTTCCTGTACATTTTTTGCAAGCTTGCTGTTATGCAGTGACATATGTAACCTATTAAGTAATGATAAAGACAAGGTAAACACTTGCCAGCCATCAAAAATGTTCACACAATTTCACTGAAATACACATTTAATAATGGGCAGAATCTATACATGATATACTTCTTGTCCTCTACTTGTGCAAGTCAAGGAACATCAATAAAAATAATAAAATCCTCTATTCAACTTCTCTTTCACTGTTTACTATACAGCAGGGCAATTCAATCTTTTGGGACAATGCTTCAATAAGACAAGAAAAACTATCTTTACTTATCCCATTGATCCATTTTCAGGTTCAAACATATCGAACAGACCTGGCAAGCAAACATTCCATTGAATTTGAAAATAAGCATTAACTTGCAATTAACTATCAATTCTTAAAAAGATTTATATAACTCACCGTAAATTAAAAATAAATAAAATCCTCTGCATATTCTTGTCAACTCTCATGACTGATATAGTTATAAAATATCAGCATTCCAAGCACTTACTAATTTAATGTGCATTCTCCCATTGCTCATCTGTTTCTGACTATTTGAAAGAGCGTGAATAAATTACTGTATTTACTCGCATATAAGACAATCTTGCATATAGAACAAGGTGTGACTTTAAAGATCAAAATAAAGAAAATTAGATTTACTAATACAATTCTAAGTTCATTTTGTTTAATCACAAATAAAATTATCATCAAATGCACATATTAAGGCAAACATGTTTGCCTTAATACATGATGATTGGAAAACAAAACCAAAATGTTATAATATGCAGGACTGGAAAGTTTATTTTTAGGATGTGGCTATTTATACATATGATGTGTATAACCAATTGGCTGTTGTACATATTGACTGTATGTTCCTATATTCCAGCCGGATACTGACTATATGCACTATTATTACAATTAATATTTTGATAATAATTAGACAATTATAAATAATTATAGTTTAATTTATTAAAGTTCAGTTACAATGTTATTCAATAAAGTNTTTAATTTTAAATATTGATTGTTTTTAGATATTGAACTTCATGAAGAGATTTGGTAAAGTTTCCCTTTGTCTGTCTGTTGGAGGTTTCTTTTGCATCAATAACAGAATTCCTCTCAAGGTAAGTTTACTGATTTTGAGTTTTCAATATTTAGGTACAATATACTCAGGCACTTATCAAATTACGCGTGATTATCACATAACTTTTAAGGACGTGGCTATTTATACATACTGACTGTATGCACTATTATCACAATTAATGTTTTGATAATAACTACATAATTATAAATAATTATAGTTTTATTTATTACAGTTCAGTTACAATGTTGTTTAATAAAGTAATCAATAAACCATGAAGTATTATTAAATTAGTGAAATATAGATAATGAAATTTAAAGTAGATCGGTAGGTATACGAATAAAGTAAAATAAATATATTATTTTTTATTCTGTATTTTAATTTTTTTTGTAAAAAGTGGTCTGCTTAGTCTTTCTCTTCAGATATCCTTTGAATTTAATTTTAATTTTAAATTTTAAGTTTTTATTTGATCGATTTGAACAGGGCTCATTATTAGACCGAATTTGTTCTTTGGGTTCTTCTGGTTCAGTTATACTAAGCTCACTACTCTCGCATTCAAAAGAGAAATTCCATTTCTTGCATCACTTTCTATTACTTTTAATTCCTCTGCATATTAATTGAAGGTTTGCCTTCCATAATTAGCCAAAATATCTGCAATATTTTTTGTTATCGCGAGTGCCGTATTAAATTTTTTCCTATCCGATATTATTTTGTTGGGACAATCAAAATCGTAGTAAAAGTTTCATCTTCAATATGATCATTGATGTCTACATTTACATCATATGTATCCATAATTATATTATTTCAATTGAAAATGCACTATCTTGCATGAAAGAACGTTTTTGAAAATATATCCAAATTATTATATTATATTATATTGATTTAAAAAAATGAAAATTATCACTTTATAATGGATTATGCATACAAAGAACAC